TGGATGTCTCCCGGACGGTGGGGTCCTCTTGTTATCCGTGGCTTTGACACGATAACCGTACGGGAAGTCTTACAGCAGATATTCACGTATCTGCATACTCCATTGACTGAGATGGAAGCCAATTGGATTTCCCGGACGCCTCCGAATCGGAATCGATTGGAACTGGCGAAGTTTCATAGAAATTTTGATGTCCTCGGATGGCAGCCATTCGATGGGACTTTTTTGAGGTCCGATCTGTTGGGTGGTCATAGACAGTTCTGTGGCCTGGAGATGGTGCTCGAACATGGCGAATGGAAACTTTGTGTAGACTTTACTGCTGGACCCGTCCTTCGACTATGGGATACTATATGACACCGTAACGATACCTTCTTTACTCTCACGGCGCTTCTCTAAACCTTCTCACGCAATGTTATCTCTAATTTTATCTGTTATGTTGCTATCAATGATCTAAGAGCCGCTGTGAAGATATTTTGCACCGTCTGTGAACCGTACAAGTTATATACAAAGTATGCAAAGACGGATGTCCACTCTCGGTGAGATGGCGATGCGTACATCGTGGACCCTCGATGGGCAGAATACGCAGAGCCGAAACATAATTGGTAAATGGCAATATCAGGGTTACGTTCATCTACTATAGGGCTGCCATATGAGTCTGACAAGAACAGCCTGATAGCCTTTCGAGTAAACACTAACAGGGAAACAGCTTCTATTTCTCAAGAAAAAGAGCACGCCTGTACTACCGAATCCCTCAGGAATCAGGGATCAGAGCAACCACTAGTAGGAGTAATGTAGCACCAAAACGTCCGTTAGACACCCCAAATAGCTGCCCAATCCGTCGGTGCACGATACGGTGGCACAATGTAACGCGAATCCAAATATGACCCTGAGATCGAAGTCGAACGTCAGACCAGAAGTTCTGCTCCGTAAACCACTCTTACCGCTATACACCACATCGCCTCTATAGTAGTTCACTTCCACCTCCAGCCCAGCCCCATGTCCGTTCAGAATTCTCACCACATCCTGTGCCTGGGCCCCCATACGGGCAAAACGGCTGACGCCTTTAATGCGTACTGCTATGTTCCTTACGTTCACGCCGCTGGAATCAAGGACAGAGGCGAGATCGTTCCATAGCTTGGTGGTAGCTTCGAATCTGTCATCGCAAAAAAGCGTTGTGTGCAAGACGTCTATGGAGAGGGACGTCAACGCCAAAGGGGACGGCTGGGAGAGCGTCTGGATAAGCCAGTTCAGGCATTTGGGCACCCCCGCCTGGCTGCAAATGTACAGTGACCGGAGCTGGGAGGCTGAGATTGATTTGAAGAGCGGGTCTAGAACAGAACGGAAGCGTGAGCGAGCGTACAAGAGAATGTTAGTCATTACTGACCAGTCAAAGTAACGGGAAGCCGAAGGTGCTCCAGTGGACCACTTATGTGCATTAATAACCGTGTCGTAGATTGCGTCACGGTGGTATTTGGGGTGGTTTTATCCCGAAGACGACAAAAGAGAGATAGACTTTGGATGGCGGCTACATCGACGGGTGACGAAGGCGACAAGAAACAGTCAAGGATGGTACAGTAGGAAGAAGGCGTGGTGTGCACTGTCAGTGCGCGCAGCTGCGGTTTAGATCGCACGGTTTGGACTTGGGATACGGTGGTGGCGTTCTCAATGCACACATCCCCGTCTAAGATAAGGACCCTCAATGCCGGGAGCGTCCCGAGAAAGATAAGAAAGCTGGAGACAGAAGGAAACAGAACATGAGATAACTCCAGATATGTCAGCTTCGGCGACTCTGAGATGGCAATAATCGGTAGCTCCTCCCAGCTCTGCAATTTGTGGAATTTTATCGTCAAGGAGAAGAGCTTGGGTAAGAGAACGTTTATGATCTCTCGTATGTCGCTCGAGTCTCGCGGCCATACTTCATCCTGGTATGCCCCGACATGCAACTCTCTCACGAACGGTCCGAGATGAGGAGACGACTTTAAAAGTGCTGCGAATGTGGCTAGTTTGCCAGGATGGGAAAAGTTTGCGCTGGGAACACCTTGATACTCGACATGATAATAGAATTCATCCGTTGAGTATAGACCCCCGGGGAAGGTGCAGAGCCCTCCAGGCTCGATGCGGACGTGGAAGAATAGGTGGGACTGAGCGAGGGGAGACCAGGAACGGCTAACCAGAGAGCATGAGCGTAGGGTGGAAATGTCGAGGTGACATTCGCTGATAATTATATCAATGAGTTCAAGGGGTATGGGGATGCGCTTATCCATATTTCACGTCAGTTGAATTTCCAATAAACACGTTTCCAACGTGCAGTTACGAGACTTCTCTACACAATTCAACGCACTTCAAACCAACGAACAAGAGAGCTAAGGCTTACGGAGTTGTTTCCCGAGATAAACGGTATTTTTACAAATCAAGTGTCTGTTCGAAATTGAGGGGGACAACAGCGAACTTGAGGCCGTCGAAAAGCCGTGCCAGTGGGCCCCGGTATGATCCAGCCTGGGGCCTTAAAGTTGTCGCCAAACACGTATCTACAACCGCTTTTCAGAATTGCATGCTTCTTTTGGAAATATTATCTGGGAACAAACGTGCTTCGGCCTGTCGTTATTCAGCTGGATAAGAAGCCGATGCCATAAAGGCTAAGTGAATTGAGTGATTAAGAGAAGGTATGTTGAAGGCCGCTCTGAACCGTCCCGAAAGAAAGGGCCCCTCAGGCTAGTGGTTGCTACTGCACGCGTCTTTGACCTTTCTGACATGCGGTATTTGAGTCTTGACCTTTGAGTGTGTAGGTGGATATTCTGATTCGGCTGCATGGTTGACATTCTTCATACGACAGTTGGTTGAAACATTACGACTTGCTTCATACTAGGTTCGTGGAAATCTCAACTTTCGGAAGCTTGTGCGAGCCGAAAACATAACGCGGTGGAGAACGTTCTCTCAAAGATGACGACGAGAAAGGATCACAACGTTCCAATCTAACAGTTCGGATGATGAACCTAGGGACCCCCGATACTCCTCGGTCCGACGACTCCGCCGAGCACTGGCCGATCATTCCTCTCAGCATCCGGCGCTCATGATGCCCTGGGAGGGTGAGGTATGTTGCCCTTCTGAGGGCTTCTCAGTGTAACGCGCCTCACACACTCAACAACTACCTGTCATGTCTCCCAGAAATACAGTGCTAATCACAGGGTACGACGATTCAAATGACATGCTGCTTTAGTTCATAACTTGGTTTAGGTGCAGTACAGGTATTGGAAAGGCTCTCGCTCGAGAATTCCACAAACAAGGCAAGCTGAGGACTTTTTCCTCCAGTATATTCTACACTGAAAAGGCTGGTGTCAGGTCTGGTTGTGTTTGCTACGGCCCGTAATGAAATTGCACTCTCGGAGCTCTCAACCTCTGGGATAAAGACATTTGCTCTTGATGTTACGAACGAGGAGCAGATCATCCGGGTTCGCGACCAAGTGGCGGAAATTATTGGAGGTAAACTCGACATATTAGTCAACAATGCGTAAGCCCTCAGTTACTTATGTTCTCCCTTTATTCATCGTAGTCTAGCGGTCAAAGTATGTCCGTTTCTCAAAGCATATCCCTCTATCTATACCTACATGTATTTCTCTAGCCTTCTTGTCTGCCGCAGCTGATCTCGATATGGAGCGAGTACAGGATCTCTACGATGTCAATGTATTCGGCGCAATGCGGATGGTCAAAGTATACGTGCCCCTTCTCATTGCTTCGGGTGACGCGTGCATTCTTCAAGTCGGGAGCGTCGCTGGTGTAACACCGTATCCCTTCGGTTCAACACACAGTTCCTCGAAAGCCGTTCTTCACGCATACGGGAACACATTGCGTATTGAATTGTCTCCTTTCAAGTGCGTTTTCTTGTGCACTCAAATTAAACTTATGCATAAATAATTCTTCCTCCCATTAGTATCAAGGTTGTCAATATGAGCGGTGCATATGACACTCAAAATATACGTCCGGTAACTAAACTTTCCCTCCTTTAGTTATGTACCGGCAGCGTGAAAAGCGATATCATCGAGACCAAGCTGAATCCGCTCCCCGGCAGCTTGTTGTACAAGTCTATCGAATCTATAGTCCTCGGAAAACGAAAGGAGGTATCTCAAGGTATCTGTCCTTCCAATATTCTCCGTCTATTCTCCCACATATTGGGTCCCCTCAGGTGGCTGAAGACTATACCAAGAATGTGGTACTGGAGGCTCTGAAAGCCAATCCTCGGGCATGGCTTTGGGAAGGAAGCAAGTCGTGGTTTGTATGGATGGTGGATACTCTCTTCCCTCGTACTGCCTTTATGAGTGTCTGGAAAGCTGCACTCTGTCTTTCCTCACGAAACAATCCTTCTAGGATAACATGATGAAGAGATGGTATGGATTGGACCATATCCGCTTTGGGCTCCAGACTTAAGTTCTTCGTACGAGTGCATTCGATTATTTCCCGTTGTAATCCTATCAAACAATGCTACCATTTTTTCGTACCATTTATCAGAAGAGATTGAAACACGATCCGTAAGGACGATATTCCGGCAATGATATGCCATGGATAAAAATTGAGCATCCATACGATACCGCGAAGGTGGAGGGGGAAACCTATCGCCGAACACAAGCTTAACAGTCTCGTAATGGCAGTCGGCGACAAATTAGGCTTGCACCGGTATCGTTGCATCAAACAAAACCTTCCCAACGAACAACGCAGAAAACACTCATAGAAGCTGTAGCCTGGATACGTGGGATCTCTATTTAACTCGTGCAGCACTGGGAGAATTTCCACTTGGAGCCCGGTGAGAACGGCAGCCAGGGTTGGAGAATAGACGGTATAGAGTTCGGTTGCGTCAGGAGGAATTGTTCCACATGCTGAGGAGAAGAGATTGTAGGGAAAATCAGGTCTTCGAACCGTCCATGGACTGTAACTTGAACGGTCACCAAACTTGGGGTGGGTAGGCTCGAAATGACTCTTGACCTCAAGGACCTCTACAACATTACATTATGTCTCTGATAGTATATCGGTTAGTACACGCGCCTGTCATTCTATTGTCTTAGTATCGATGGCCGCGCGAAAGCTGGGTTCGACTCCCAGTCAGAGAGTGCTTTTTATTTACGTGTCCCCAACAGACCGCCAAAAGATTGAGCTCTGATGAGTCATGACGAACAAGTCTTTCTGACTCTTTCAGTTTTACCAGCTACTGTGGCACGAATCAATGGGTTACGGCTGATTTTGATGGTGGGCGAAAAGATCGCAGAGAAATCAAATTGAGCAACTGGTCGGTCGTACCAAGTAGAGAGGAGAAACAAGTCGCCGCCAGAGTTCAGTAAGGATAAGAGAGCAGAACCATTGTCGAAGTTGATCGTCATCATATGACTACCTAGGGTCTAGCCGTGTCCACTGTCCACCGTAAATAGGCCTTCAAACGCCTTCCATTCGAATTGTCGGCTCGTCCAACATCGTTGCGACTATGGCCATCGAAATCATTGACCTCAGTCACCCACTCGATCCCTCCAACATGTCCTTCTATCCTGGCGACCCACCCTATACCTGTTCTCCCCATGCGACCGTCTCAGAACACGGCTACAGCGTCCAAGCCCTCTCTCTGTGCACACATACAGGCACCCACGTCGATGCTCCTTCCCACTTCTTTACCCAAGCCAAGTCTATCGACCAGGTCCCCCTTGCATCCTTTATACGCCCCGCCATCGTCGTCGATGTCAGCCAAAAGGTCATCCCTCGAGGGCGAATCACCTGGGACGACGTCAGCCTGAGCCTCGGTGACAAACCGGAGGCGGTCATAGTGCTCATCCGTACGGACTGGTGTAAACATTGGGGTAAACCCGAGTATGTCAACCATCCTTTCCTCGATGCAGATGCTGCTAGGCAACTTGTCGCTCGTGGTGTATCAGCTATCGGCATTGACACTTTGAGTCCCGACGAGACAGAAGGGGCAGCGAATGATTTTGGGGTACACCAGGCGATTCTTGGTGCTGGTGGACTCATCGTGGAGAACCTGAGGAACCTGGCAGCTATACCTGAAAGTGCATATGTGAATTTTGTCCCATTGAATCTGAAAGGTGGAGATGGCTCACCCGTGCGAGCATTCGCGTATGTACCGTAATCTTTTCGAATTAATTTTGTTTATACCTCGTTACCTCGAACGACAGCGCCGACCACGTATTAATGTCCAAACAATCTTTGCTGTCACTGTCCAAGCAATCTTTTCCGCCATCCCGTTCGGATTTCTAGACCTACGCCAGACCTAAATCTTTGGAGTCTGTCGCGTCGCTGGCTTGCTTCGGCAACGACTCGGATCGGACTTGTTCGAAGCTTTTGCTCTCCTCTCTGAAAAAAAAACATTATTGAAGCTAGTCAAAAGAAAGGAAATGCTCGACGCACCTGGCAACCTTTTTCTAACATGAATCGACAGAGATCATTCTTGGAATTATCCGGTCCATTTGCGCGCTGATATCCTTAATGTATGCGTCTGAAATGAATACCTTGCAGGACGAGCTTCCAGGGCAGGAAGATATAGGACAAAATGCTGTATTCGCCGCAAGGCGAGACGTTCATCGAAGGGCAAGTGGTGGTTGACTTGACTTGCGAATTCCCACGACTGGCTACAACAAACTATGACGCATCATCCAGTCGTCTGAAAAATCTCTTCTGTACGAAGCACTACGTAAAAATGAACATGGAGCATCTTCTCCTGGTTCATGAATATCACATATCAACAAACAGTACGCCGGATTGAAAACGAACGTAACATCCCTCTTCATAGAGAGAGCCTGTATCGCATACTGAAGCGGCCAATCGAATAACAGCAGAGTAACGCATTCACATTAGCAATCAGCTTCTTGACCCGGCGATGAATGGTATCAAGTACAAGCCAGACACCCGTTAAATTACTGCAATCTGTAAAGTGTCACCCATTAAATATTACAGAAGCTAGTGTGCGCTCTAAGTAAGCAGATGTACCTATGATAGTCTGCATCTATATCCAAAAAGTCGGTGAATCATCATGATCTCGCCTCAATGATAGCTATGGCATCAGCAACGTTCTCCTGGAAAGCCTCTGGTCCCAAAAGGTCTACAATCCCCGCTATAACAAACATCTTTCGGGGCTCAGGTCGTAGATGCGTCACAAATAGCTCTACGCCCCGGTTCTAGAATGACATCGCATTTAGCCAGAAAGATATGTATAAGCAGCATAAATGTCCCACCCGATACTCTTCAAATAGTTCATGGAACATCTGTACGGCACTGCGAGCAGGGCATCAGAAGAGTTGTTTTGCCGTTCTCACGACGAACAAACTTACGAAGCATCGCAAGTTTCCACATCGGCCATGTGAAACACTAGCACTTGAGCCAATTGCCTCCTTGGCTCTTCCGAAGGGTGGCTCTTATCTACTCCATAAAGCTCCAACCTTCTCAGCCGTTCTGATACACCAACCATCAGCTTTCGGCATTTTTGCAGTAAACAAGAGGAATGAATACCTTTCAGCTGCGCAGTGTTCGCTGCAACCAGTCAATAATCAGTATTAGGATTCAACAGTACAAATTGCACAGACCAAAATCAAGATTCTCCCGTATTCTGACGATCAACACCCCAGGAACGTCTTCTTTCGCGTCAGGATTCTCGCTGATGGGTTTCCACCTATCCGTGCGGGGCAGACGACCCTAAATTGACCAACAAGTCTTATCAGCTTCAATTCTGAGATTGTGCATCATACTTACAAGGATCGTCATACGAGTCTTGGATGACCGATGTACAACGAGCAGAAGTGAAATAACCAGACTAACGCCAACTCCGACCTCTACGTTCCACACTATCGATAGCACAAATGTGAGCGTCATCAATGCCAAATCTACCCATGCCCGCATCCTTCGTGTCATCAGCGCTGTTGTCGACACGAAAGCCAAAAGCACGTACTTGATGTAATACCTGACATCATGAGGGGTTTCTGCAAGGAGAGATATCACAACAAGACAAATACTAGGTCATGAGTGAGCCAAGTCAACGTATCAGAACATGAAATAGATACCTACATTGATGCCAAAACACACTTAGGGAGGTAATAGAGGAAAGGAAGGAGGAAGAATGTCGCCAGTAGAATCACACCGGAGCAAACGAGAGAAGCCATTTGGGTCCGTCCGCCTACGTCACCGTTTATCTTCGACCTACAAAGAGTCACCTCAGCCGACGAGACTGATTACATGCCGGGACCTATCTCGTACCTTGTAATCGAGCCATATGCAGGAAGCGTGCCAGGAATAAACGAGCTAGCAATGTTGCTAGCTCCCAGCGCCACCAACTCACGATTGGGGCTTATGCTGTACCCAAACCTAGCTCCATTTTGCTTCGCTGAAACGATGCTGTCCAAATAACCTATGACCGCGATCATACTAACAGCGCGCCATCAGACATGGCGCTTTCAGTACGAAAAAAGGACTACTCACACTGCAGTCGACGTCGTGCGCCGCAGATATCGCACATTGGAAGCTCGTAAAGGGAATCTGAAAAAAGATGCACCAGTGTTTATAGGCACGGAGCCCAGGATGTCGACGCCATCTTTATCCCAACCGAACTCGGCCGACAGTACTGGATTGTTGGATGAACATCGAACTATGACGACACATTCGATAGAAATCACGTACTCGTTGAAACAATAACGACCACCAAGACCTCAGGTATCCGGTATATCCACCAATACTTGACAAAGCCCTGTTTCGCTCTTCTCATGAAAATGAGCGTAAAGAGTGCGCCGAAGCTGATAGCTGCTGTAGTGGTATTTGTATGTCCTAGGAAGTGGTCTAGTATGAAGATGAACTTGTCCCATGTTGTTCCTGCCCCCGGATGAAGGGCGTGTTCTAAGGCGGTTAGGCCCAGCATAGGTATCAGCTGCTCGCTAGACAGACGCGGATTAGATGGCTCCCGAGACGCGGGATTCTTTCTATACTCACATGGTGATGACAACCGCAATGGCCGTAATAAACCCTCTCAGCAACGCCCGGCTCAGAACGACATCGATGAACCCCAGTCTGAAGAGCCCAAGAAGAAACGTTATGAGGCCGGCCTAACCTCGACGGTCAGAAGCGTCCGTCCAGAACACATACATGCAAGTCCCACCTGAAGAGTGATAATCGTCGCAACATGCAAACCCAGCCTATCGCCCTCCCCAGAATGTGGATCGGACAGGTCATGCCGTATATCATCGACAGCCTGACCGAGAAGCAGACTCAGCGCAGCCTCAGGTGCTACATTCAGCTGCCTCGAAGTTCCGAGAAAGGCGTATACGATTCCAGGGAAAGAAGCCGCGAACTAGGAATAGGAATAGTCAGCATCCCCTCTACCCGACCCCGAATGGCGTAAAGACGCACCAACCCCGTGGTCGGATTCAGCTTTGCGAGCGAAGACGCATAACTGACAGATTGGGGTATGAGCATGCTGGCCACGGTCATCCCGGCGAGAACGTCGCCGCCGAGCCTGTTACCGTCATGAGAAGGATACCCGAGCTTTGGAAGACGAAAGGGCGCACAGCGATAAGGAATAGCTAGGGATCCACGCGGTAGATGGGATGTAATATTTTACTCGTTTCTTGAACTTGGTCCGATGGTCGACTCGAGCTGGAAACGCGAATGAGTGCCAGTAGTGCTGGCGGGCTCTGCTGCTCACTTTGCTCTGATATGCTTCCATACTGCCTGCTGTTCTGGCTTTCGACGTCTATCAGCCCTTCCCCTTCGCTTTGAGGCGTGTCAATCCCGTGTAGTGAACTTATCGAGGCCGCCGACGATACAGTGCTGAATATTGGTGTTCCGTGTCCATGTCGTGAATGGGCCATGATGGTGGGTGGGACCCAGAGGAAAGCGGAGGACACTCGTGAGGTGTCAAGGCAAGAAAGGAATAGCTGCTATAAATACTTTCTGGAACAAGGAGCCAATAGGAAAACAGACAATATTGTGGCGGCTTTCAAACAGGATCCCGGAGCGCCGCTGAAGGAATAGCAACTGTATTTAGCAAAGAGTTGAGTCGCAGCTGTATAAGACCAGCTGGAAACTATACGTGTATACATGGTTTTAGATTCCAAAAAATGACCCA